GAAAAACTACCAGGCTAACAGTGGAGGTTTCCTACATCCTGGCTCACGCTCAGGTGGAGGTGGGCGGGGCAGGGATGGAGGAAGGGCCGGTGGCCAAAGGGAGCCAGTCCTGGAGGTGTTTGGCCTCTGGGTGATAAGGGACAGGCTCCTCCCCTGCGACTTCCTGGGACCTCCAGCTCTCAGAAGCCCATTCCCACCGAAAGGGGCCACGTGGCCTTCACGGGACGTGCCACGTGGGGCTCCTCCGCATGTGCTATACTCCCTTTGCTTAGACGCTCTCGCCTTCACGCATCAGTCTAGAAACTGTCTGCTCGCCCGTCAAGACCCACCTCAGGGTGTCCTTCCTGGAACTGTCCGAACAGACAGGACTGTGCTCGCCTCTTTTTCGCCACCGTGCCTGGTGCCTAGCTCCACCGGTGCCCCCGCCGGACGGGACCGCAGCTCTCTGTGTGCTTGCCCATCTCCCCCACCGGCCCGGGGGCAGCTCGAGGGCAGAGATCATCTCTAATTCAGCCATCCCCGCTGCCAGGCCAGGGCCTGGCATGTGGCAAATTCTAGTAAATAAGTGAATAAATGAAGTCGCTTCGTTTCTCAGCCCCTTGCCAAGGGGATTCGACACGCAGAGCCTCAGCCATCTGGCACTACGGGAGCAATCGGAAACAGGGACGTGGAGATCCTTCTCAAACCTCCAGTGAGGTGGGGGCATCGGGGTTCCTCTGCCATGGTCAATGCCACGGACCTCGCCTGCACAGAGGCACCTACTGCGCCTGGTTCCTGTCTTACTCCGGGTATGGAGTAGGAGCACTAGGGTGAGTCAGTGCCGAGGCCCCTTCGGGCGCCACCCCGTGGGGCCTCGGGTAAAACCACCTGCTCACAAATCTTCTGCCTTCCGGGTCAAAGGGTCTGTGCATTTTCCTCCGAAGTGGCTGACACGCGTTAGCCACGCACCAGATGGTGGACGTGGTCCCCACGGCTCCGCACCCTCCCGGTCTCCATGCAGACAGATCTTCCCTCTCTGCCAGGCTGACAGGATGGAATGGGCTCGTTGTTCTGAACCTTGTTCCTCTAATTCCTAGTGACCTTGGGCATCTTTTCACTGGCGGAGTGGTCTTTTCTGCGCACGGCTAGTCCTTACCCATTTTCCTTTTGGATCGATCGACTTTTTCCTTACGGATTTGTAGGGATTCTTCTGAAACGTACTCCTTTCGTGCACGTGTGGCACGCATCTGTTCCCTATCTGCGTCTAGTCGGTTAACTTTATGTTAATACGCGAACTTCGTTGGTTAACGCACTCACTTATGTTAATACATTAACTTCGTTGGACAGAAGTTCAATTTTTTATGGCGTCAGAGAACAGAAAAGGCTGCTTGTGACAGCCTTTGTAGCCACATGGCTTTCTAGAACGGCGATCTTTTCAGCATCTCCTCAGAGGCCCATGAGGCCCTGGGAGGCGGGGAGAGTACGGATTATTATTCCTGTTTCGTAGGTGGGAGGTGGAGGCCGTGTTTTGGACATCGGACCTTTCTGTCTCCTGGCACCTACTCTTCCCTCTTCCAGGAACTGGCCCCTGATTTTTTCCTTGCAGTCTTTGTCCTTGTCGTCTGAGTGGGGCTGGTCAACTGGAGTACTCCCTTCCCTCCCCAGGGCACGAGGATGGCAGGGGTCCCGAGCCAGGCCAGTGACAGTGTCAGCCTATCTAGGACTCAGGGTGGAATCACTGAGAAATGGGCATTTTCTGTCAGTCAATTCTATTTGAAAATGAGACCAGGGCAGAGGAAAGCAGGGTGGAGAAAGACCCATTGCAGACAACCTTTACGCCTGGATCCAGCCACGCCTGTGGCCTGTCCACTTGTCCGGCCAGCGCGACGTGGGTTCTGTCTCTTCTGTGACAGAGTCCTGACTAACAGGAACCTCGTCAGAGTGGGACATGAAGGCACCAGGACCGGACTCCTGACCCCACAGGTCATCATTACACGTAGGAGAGGCGTAGAAGGATAAGAACTTCTAGGCCTCAGTTTCCAAATCTGTGATGAGATAATCCCTTCTCCCTCCCTGAGCTGACTCTGGTATCAAACATCTCCGAGGCCTCTTGGCTAAAGCAGGACACGGTGACCTTCCTGTTCCGATCCCAAGGACATTTTGAATGAGAGGCCAGGGAACAGTTAAACCGACAGAAACAATCAGCTTTCTCCAGCATCGGAAAAAAAATAAATAAATAAAAACAAAAAAACCGACATCAGTTTAAAGCTGCCCCACAGAAAACTGAACTCGGTGGACACGATGGAGAAAAAAGAAGGAAGGGAACAAGCAGGAAAGAAAGAAAAGAAAGAAAAGAAAGAAAAGAAAGAAAAGAAAGAAAAGAAAGAAAAGAAAGAAAAGAAAAGAAAGAAAGAAAGAAAGAAAGAAAGAAAGAAAGAAAGAAAGAAAGAAAGAAAGAAAGAAAGAAAGAAAGAAAGAAAGAAAGAAAGAAAGAAAGGAAGAAAGAACGAACGAACGAACCTGACAATAGCAGCTGGCGTTGGAAAACAGGCATGGGAAAAAAAAATACCCTCTCTAGAAAATTCACACAGAAAAAGATAAACCCTGCTAAAAAGAATTTCCATAAAAATGAGAAACTGGAGAAAACCTAATCGAGCCGTATGAAGATCTGCTTAAGGAATTAAGTGGATTTAGCGGCATGCCCCTCTGGAAAATATTTTCCTGATGAGACACCACTGATTTTGACATGATGCTGATGACATTTCTGAACATCCCAGGGATCCAAGCCTCCTGGGTACAGCCTGAGCGCCTAGCCCTGAGGGCTGAGTCCCGTGTTTTCGAGAGCCAGTGGGGGCGCAAAGAGAAGAAGCCCACCGCAGGCGCCCCACCCACTCACCGTGGTGATGAACCGATACAGAGGCTGCCGTCTCTCGGTGTACTTGACCGTGATGGGGCTGAGGTCATATCGGAACCAGATGGCGGGGATGATGCGGCCCGTGTGGCTGTAGGCGACGTACTCCTGGGGTGGAGGAGGAGACACGGGGATGGGGATGAGATGCAGGCACACGAACCTCGTCTCACGGGGGTCGGAGTTGGAGTGCAGAGGGGCCCCCCACCCGACAACCCGTGAGAATGGGCTCTCCTCCCTCCCTCTCCCCCAGGTAGCCAGACCCCGTGGGGCCCTCCTCTCAAGCCCCTTCCCGGGTGGCCCTGCCATCAGCAGCATCTGGATGGGCAACATTGCTGGAGGCATGTTTGACCCTTTGGGCTCCTTGGAAATTGACCATATAACCGGGCAGCAGCCCCGGAATCAAAAATATGAAGCGGAGCAGCGATGGAAAAGGACAAAGGCGATTTGGGCTCGGTCTGAGTAAAGGCCTATTTCCCCCTTTGAGGCCCGGGCCACACGAAATCCATCCGTTTATTCAGCGATGGTTTACCGAGCAGCTCTCCCGTGCGCTGGCGCTGTGCTGGCTGCTGGGGACCCCAAGCGGGGTAAGCCCTGCCCCATGCCCAGAGTGAGCACGGTCTGGGGAAGGAGATGGATGGAAACACATCTGCAATACTGCAACGCCGCACAGGATGGGACAGGGGTCCATGGAGGGCTGGGGGGGCCACGAAAGAATGACCAAGTCTCCCCGGGCCATCTGGAAGGCTTGGCAAGGAGGGGACATTCTATGCCACACGTGACATCCCAAGGAGTGTGTGCAGATGTGTGTGTGTAGCAAGGAGGGGACATTCTATGCCACACGTGACATCTCAAGGAGTGTGTGCAGATGTGTGTGTGTGTGTATGAGAGAGAGAGAGAGAGAGAGAGGGAGAGAGAGAGAGAGAGAGAGAGGAAGAGAGAGAGAAGTATAAAGGCCACGTGCTGAGTGAGCTTCTTCGTAGAAGGAACACAGAACTGGAAAGGCAGAGGGCTTGGCCCTGCCATGGGCCTCTGCCACAGGCCTACCTGGGAAGCCACCCTTCTGGGACTAAAAGGATGCTAAGGGGCTGAGTGAATAATGTCCTCTCCAGACTGGGTGCTTCAGGATGCTGAAAACCTCTGGGCTTACCTCATTTGTCTACGAATGGAGACCAAGCTGAACCACAGGGGTACTCCCAATGCCAAATGCTGGGCCTGAGCTCAAGGCTTCTCCCAGGGATAAGCCAGAGACCTGCTTTGTCTGTTGGATTGCCGCCGGCCCCAGTGGGTGCAGCCCCACACAGTCGCAGGGCGGGCTGGGGCCAAGGCCACCGAGAGGGCTGAGCAAGCTGTTCTGGCTCCTGGGCCCTTGCCAAAGCCTTGGGGGAAGCTCACCTTTCTCCAGGGAGAGCTGATGGGCAGGGTGACTGTCTGGGTCACAGCCCAGGCCCGGGGGACAGAGGAAAAAAAATGAAACACAGCAGCCGTAGGTACCATTTACTTAAAGCTTTGTGTGCCAAGTGGTTTTAAAAGGATTGCCTCATTTGACAGCAATCTTATGAGGTGGGCACCATTTTACAGATGAGTAAACTGAGGCACAGAGTGGTTATGTGACTTAGTGACTGAGCCGGCTCTGAGCCGGCCATCTGCTCCACGGCTCCTGCTCTTCCTGCCCAGACTGCACCCACGTTCTCCCATTTGTCGGATGCTGTCAGCTCGTGAGGGTGACAGTCCCTCCGAGGAACAGAGACGAAAGGAAACAGGGTTCCTTTCAGGGAGTTATACCAGAACATCAGCACAGGCAGCTCAGAGCAAGGGACCCCGAGTCGCCAGAGAGGGAGGAGCTGCCAGCCCGGCCGACTCTTGTGCCTTGTTCAGATTGATGGACTGGTGATGTGAGCAAGAGGCCAGCTCTGGAGCCCGAGGAGGACCTGGTTCTAATACCCGGTTCTAAGGATCGCCTCTCAGTACCTCAGTGGCCAAACATGTCCCCTGGGGGCGATAAGAGTCCCAATGCCAGAGCTGTCATGATGACTGAAAAAGACGATGGGCAGACAGCCTGGCTGGTGTCCAGCCCACTGTGAGGGCTCCATAAACGATAGCTACCCCTCTTACTATTACTATTACCTGAGCTAAACAATATATCACTTAGCAGGGGTTTGGGCAGCTCTGGAACAGACGGAAGGGGAGGGTCCTGGCCATAACGGGGTGTATCGGGGGTGCCTCAACCAACGTGCCTCCATTTACGTCCCACCGGCAGGGTTGGCCCCGGGCAAGCCTGAGGCCGTCTCGGCTTGAAGCCACTGACTGTTGGTCACCCCCGTTCCGCTGGCTCTGATCATGCTCTGCTCCCCACTGAGGCCGTGACTTTGAGTGTTGGGGTCTCTGATCATGCTCTGCTCCCCACTGAGGCTGTGACTTTGAGTGTTGGGGTCCTGGGACATCCCCGTTAACCAATGGCCATCCCGTGTGATTCGAAAGTCTCGTGCTTTCAGATAAAGCACTTCTGCCCCAGGAGCCAGGGCGTCCGTCGTGCGCTGGACAGTCAGCGTCCTGAGTCTGAAGGAGCAAGGCCAGAGGCAGGGACATGTGCCAGCCCTGGGACCTCTGCGGGAGGCCACCCGCCTGCTCCTTCTCACACAGATCACGCCCCGTCTTCCGGTTAGACTTCTGCCCCTTGACTCTGAGACTGGTCTCCCGTCTTCACCCAGGGACAGAGCCTGGCCAGGGCAGCCCCCCAGGAAAGCCCGCTCCCCACCCGCCCAAGGGAACCGGTGGAAATCTCGCCCAGACGCTTGTCGCCTCTGCTCTTGGCCAGCAGAGGGCGCGATTGCACGCGGCTGGGCCGGGCCGCCGCCCACGTACCTTGTTGGCCACCGTGTACTGGTAGGAGTATTGCTGCTTGCCACTCTTGTCCTCGTAAACCGTGGGCACGATCTTCAAGATGTAGTCGTGGGAGGCGAGGGCTGCGGAGAGGACAGGGCGGGGTGAAGCAGGGGACGCGCACTGCCTGGCTGGCAGCTCGCCGTCATTTCAACCTTAGACCCGCTCGGTATGGCCTGGGGGCGGGGGAGGGGGGCTCGGCCTCCACATTTTCGTCACTAAGTGACCCCTCTTTGTTTTCTCCCCGTGACACCAGGAATTGAAAGGCTCCGCCTGTCAGGATCTGTACTCCTGTATTTAATCTTCAAACTCTGGGAACAACGCAATGTCCGTTAATGGGGCAATCCTCGGAGGCGGGGTGCCGGGAGGGGCCCCTCTCCAAGGGGAACTGTTATGGGAGAAGGAGGGAGTTACAGAACAGGGTGAACAGCACGTGTCTGTGGACGGGGGGAAGGGAAGGCTCCCGCTCTCTCTGTGTGTGAACACACAGAAGAATTTTCTGAAAAATAACCCAAAGAACTATTAGCAGTCCTAGGCTCTGGAGAGGAAGGCAGGATGTGGTGAAGATCACATTTCATTGTGCACGCTCTGGTCTCTGTTTGAATGCTGACACTTCTGAAACACATTGGGTTTAAGTTTTAAAAAGGGTGAGCCCCCCCCCCAAAAAAAGAGTGAGCCCACCAACCAGAAAAATGCATCTGTGGAGAACTGATTAATTTCAGATGACGGGAGATCAGTCTCTCTCCACCTGGCCCTGTCATATTCCACTGTAACTCTTGCCCTCACCGCCCCCCCTGCTGGATGGTGGGGCCACAGAGGGCAGGGACCGAGCCTTACTCATCTCCGTGTCCCCAGAACCCAGCTTCGGGCCTGGTACAAAGCGGACAGTGACAAATGCTTATTGAATGAATGAACGAAGGGAGGGATGACTGGTCAGAAGCATGAATGAGAGAACAGATGAATCAGCTTCTGATAAGCATGAGGTAAGCAGGATCAAACACTAGGCTGATAGAATGCTGGCCCAAAGCTGCCAACTCTCACCCGGGAGAGGTACAGATTCTCTGGACCTTCTGGACGCTAAGAGAGACTCAAGGACCCCTCTGTTACTGCCTTCTAGAACCTCGGGTCGGAAATAACACAGAAATGTAGGCCTGTGGGTTCTCACCTTGACTAACCCTGAGTCAGTACTGAGCCCTTGGACTCATCTTTGTAAGAGAGAGGAGATG